TGGCCTGTGAAGTTTTTATTGAGAAATATGCTGTTAATCTAGAGATATATCCTTAACTGTGTCTCAATGCTTTTTCTCTTGTATATTCTAAAATTCTTTGTCTTGTCTTTTTTAAGTTTGAAGATAATATTCTGTGAAGATCTTTTCTGGTTGTGTCCATTTGGGGTTCTGTCAGCCTCTTATATGTAAATGTCAATATTTTTTACAAAATTTGGGCATTTTCTGCTATTATTTTATTCAATGGGTTTTCTATGTCCTTAACCTTTATCTCCTTATCTTTGGGTATTCCAAAAATTTGGATACTAGTTTAGTGGTGTCACAAAGATCTTAAATCCTGTCATTTTTTTTTTGTAAGTCTGAATTGGATATTTTAAAAGATCTTTCAAATTCAGTATTACTGCTGCCACTTGATCTAGTCACTTATTGAGGCTTTCCATTGTATTTTTTATTTGATCTGTTCATTTCTAAGATGTGTTTGCTCTTTCAAAATTACTTTCTTTTTCAGTTTCTCATTCATATTTCTGGGGTGTCTTTCTAATTTCACTTAACTGTTTATCTGTAATTTCTTGCATTTTATTGAACTTTTTATAATCATTCTTTTCTTTATCAAGCATTTTGTCCAGTTCATTTCTTTGGAATCTGTTGTTAGAGGGTTATTATATTCTTTGGAAGCGGCATATTACCTTGTTTTTTCAAATTTTTTGTGTTTCTACATTGAGATTTATGCACCTGGTGGATCAAATACCTCTACTTTTACAGGGTAGCCTTCTTAGCAAGTAGCTTCTCCTGAAGGTGGGTCTTGGGAATCTGCCTGTTGCTGTGCAGTTTTACCATCATGACTGGGCACTGTACTGTAGTCCCCATAGCTTCTTCCATTCTGATAGTGAGTGTTGGTGTCAGAAAGACCCACTTTCTCTGTGTACTCTGCCAGAGTGCAGACACTAGCTGTTCAGGAAACCATCATGTCCACAGCAGTGGATGTAAGTAGTCACTGTGTGGGTCCTACAGTGGGAGTGGTGGTCCCTATAAGAGGGTGGGATTTCCTCAGGTACTTCTGATGCTCCCTGTGTCACTAGGAAGTAGCAGTGACAGCACCAGCAGTAGTGAGGATTTTGAAGCATTTGTCTTCTGACGAGGTGGTGGTGAGGGTCCAGATGCTGAACAAGGAGAGGTGGTGATGGGACCTGCAACACCCCCTCTGTGGTACTCACACCCAGTCCTGACAACAATATCCAGTGAGGATGGTGTGCAAGCAGACACTGGCAGATGCCTCAGTGGGGTGGCAGCAAGAACTGTGGCATTCTTCTCTGCTCTTCCTATGGTGGTGCCTCCTGCAGGAGTGAAACAAAGAGTTGCACAGAGCTGTGCTTGGCACCCATGTGCACACCTCGGGGCCAGACAACAGCTGAAACCATGGAGATTCACATTGCCCTTAGTGCACTCCTGTGGGGGAAGAGCAGCAGGAACCATGATATTCCCTCCCTGCTCTGTCAGAAAATGGCACATGAGTAATACATTCAGGGTACTAGGCACCCCACTGGCTCTTGACTTCAGTCCTGGCACAGGCAGGAGTCTCCTTGTAGCTAGCTAGTTCCATGGTTTCAGAGGGCAAGCACACTGACCTTTGTTTCTTGAGGATGGTGCTGTCTCTTTCCTCCATGTCACAGTGTCTGTCTCCTACAGTGAACGGCGCCCAGTGACAGTCACTCTGCTATACCAAGTTGGATTGCCGGGCTGCTATCCCCAGAACCAGTGCAGTGGCATGTCTGTGGAGTCCCAGGTGTAGGAATATGCAGGGCCTTCTGAACCCTAGATCAGTCCAAACTCAATAGCCTTTTCGTAGGATGGTTCCTAGCCACAGCACCTTGATAGTTCACTGGGAAATGATATGTGAAGATCCTTTTCTGAAGCAAGACAACCATTGTTATTTTTATTGTTGCTGACACAAAATACCCAACAACCAAAATTAAAGGAGGAAAAGTTTACTTCAGCTCACAATTTGTAGAGGTTTCAGTCCATAATTGGCGGGCTCCAAGGCAGAGGGGCATCACAGAGTAAAAAGTCCATGGCATGGCAGGACAGGCAGAAAGCAGCAAACAGCAGCAGCAGCCTGCCTTCTTTCTTTCCCTTTATATTCCATCCAGGCTACAAAAAAGCCTATTGATTGGTGCCACTCATACCCAAGGTAGGGCTTCCATTATGTACATCCTTAATCTACATTCACACACTAATGCAGCCACCTCCGAAACTCCCCACCAGTGACCACATGAGGCTTCGGGGGGAGGCATTTAGATACAAGCCATAACAACCATGCAGATTTTAGGTCACTTATCTAAGTGGGCTCCAAGCCAGCGAGGATTGTGGAACTTCCCAGTAGCTAGGATGCCAGCTAGGTGGGTACTTCTCTTCAACTGTCTTGTCCTCTTAGGTCCTTGCCCTTTTTTTGTGTGTGTGAGCTGGTGATAGTTTCCATGTTTTTCAGTATTATCTACCAAGATCAAAGATATGTTTATTAAAACTAAAAGTTCTAATTCTTCAGAACTAATTACGAGTTGTGGCAGGTAGTGAAGAGTTTCAGCTTGACTGGCTTTGGGATCTACCCCAGGGATTGGTGGCACACACTTCTGGGGGTACTAGGTGGTTCAAGGGGGCATAACCTGGGGTACTGTTTCTGGTCCCAACCCCTTCCTCTCTGGCACTGTTCCCCTGCTCTGCTTCGTGGCCACCATGAACTAAGCAGCTTTGCCTCACCACACTCCTCCATGGTGATGTCTTTGCCTTGGAGCCACTACCCAGTCATGGACTGAAACCCCTAGCAAATCAAACCTTTCTTCCTCTAAGTTATGAATCCTGGATATTGGGTCTCAGTAACAAGGAAGCTAGTACACCAGTTGTACTACTAGATAGGTCTTTGGAGGTCGTAGTAACCTTCTCACTTTATTTAAACACATAGCTATTATTTTCCAACATGTGTAACATTCATGTGCCTTTCTCAGTATTTTGATGAAAACAAAATGACATTAGAAATCTTAGAAAATTACTAGTAGAAGGTGTTTAGACTTGCATTTATTGTCTCTATACTTTTAATTAAAAATAAAAATATAAAAAAGTACCTCAGAACAGATGATTTAAATGTATGCATTACATAGTAATTGAGTAAAGAAAAACGTGGTGGTATTGCTAATAGTTTTTTAAAATTATGTGAAGCAAAGTATAATTTATTTTCCACCTCTGCATGATAATGAAGATACTTAACAAGAAAATAGAATTTCAAAAGATACTAAAAATGCAATTTTGTAGATAATAATTTCAAATATTTAATTACAGGTACAAAAATAGTATGAATCGGGGCTGGGGACTTAGCTCAGTGGTTCCGCCGCCTGCTGCGCAAGCACAAGGACCCAAGTTCGATCCCCAGTACCAAAAAAAAAAAAAAAAAATAGTTTGAATAGCAAGACTTAGAAATTGTATGTCCTTATATATGCACATAGTTCAGTATACATTATCTACAGGTATAATGTTTTCTAAAAAAACTGGACATTATCTTATAAAAAAAAAGTTTTGAAATGCAACTATCATGAATTTGATGTGGAAAGAAACATTTTCATTCTGGTTGCTTTTATATGTGTGATCATTTCTATTGCCAAAATTGTGAATGGGATATTTTTCACAAGCTACCTTCTCATGGAAAAATATTTTACTCCTCTTGGTTTAAAAAGAAAATATGAAATAAAATTTTGGAGATTTAAATTTTATTGTTATTAAAAATATAAGCTTACAGTAGCTTCTGACAGCATTGAAGAAGTCAGCAAGGAAGCAGGGACCAGAATGGGCACTTTATGTGGGAGACATTGTCTATGGCTTCACTTTACTTTTCACTTAAACATGACTTTGGGTTTATCATTTGACATTTGGCAGTAGTTATGAAGAAGCTGTTGAATACTGTTGTCTAGGTAGCCTGAAATCTATAAATGTGCTTTCCTGGCATGAATTTGACCTTCTTTTTGTTTTGTTTTTTTTGGTACCGGGGATCGAACTCAGGTCCTTGCGCTTGCGCAGCAGGCAGGGAAACCACTGAGCTAAATCCCCGGCCCGAATTTGACCTTCTTTAAAGTTTTTTTTTTTAATCTAGGCTTTCAAAATACAGTGTACATGTGTGGATATATGGGCAAAAGTACCCTGTCAGTCACTGCTCTCTATGGATGGTTAATTTTCTTAAGAGCCCTGTCTACTCCTGGGTGCAGAGGCATTGGTTTTGCTTTAAGAAACTATTAATCATCAAGAGACTGATTTAAAACCCTGTTCTCCCCTCCTGATGTTTCTCCTGGGTTTGCTTTATGTCAGGCAACACTTGTACATTGAAATCTGTAAAAAGTGAGCAGAGGACTACATGTAATTCTGCTTATCCTCTTGATAATAGTCAAATCATGTTTTGTTTTTAATTTCTTATTACATAACATCAGTAAGATGTAGCATTATTAACTTCAAAAATAGGAAGAGACCCTATGAAGCATATTTCTCAGAGTAGTTGTGCTGTTTCGTAAGTACAACATAGGACATTTTGAGGTTGTTCTGCTGTGAATATCTATGAGTTTATGGAATTTCTTCTAATAAAGATCTCCCAAAACTATAGTCTGTGCCATAGGATACAAGATACAAGGATACAAGATGATAACATCTACAAAAATGAAAGCCTTCCTCATTCAGACAACGGTTTTGATTATTTTTCTGTATCTCCTTTATGTCATATTTCTTAAAGAATTAAATGTGGGACCAGTAATTAAATCTGTTAATTTCTCATTTGACCTACTAAAACATTCTACCACAACTTTAATTTTCAAAATGCAAATAATATTGTGTTCTGTGATAGAATGGAAAAGTGGAAGAGATTATATTTAAAGGCAATGAAAAATAGTATTTTAACATAAGATAAAACTATTTTGTTTTAATGTCTTCATTTTTATTTGTCTCAATGGTATCTCTCTGTGAAATCTGCACAGATGGTTCACAAGCACCAGCCAGACCCCCCAAACCAAGACCCCGCAGGACTGCACCAGAAATTCACCACAGAAAACCCCATGGGCCCGAGGCAACATTGGAAAATGTCGATGCAAAGATCGCAAAACTCATGGGAGAGGGGTATGCCTTTGAAGAGGTGAAGAGAGCCTTAGAGATAGCCCAGAATAATGTCGAAGTGGCCCGTAGCATCCTTCGAGAATTTGCCTTCCCTCCTCCAGTCTCCCCACGTCTGAATCTATAGCAGCCAGAGCTGTAAACGCCAAAATGTAGAGCAGTTGACAGATGTTCCAGGAGCATGGAAAGAGAAGATTGAGATGGAATTCAAGAGAGACGCCTCCTCCTCTTGAGAAGGAAGGCCCAGGAGCTCTCCTCCGAAGATTTTTGCCTGCTCAGGATGTCGACGCTGTGGCCCCGTTGTGTTGCTAGCCATACTTTTAAATCAGGGTTGAACTGACAAAAATAATTTAAAGACGTTTACTTCCCTTGAACATTGAATCTGTGAAATGCTCTTCCTTGTTTACAAGTTGGCAAAGTTGCAGTTTTTGTTTTTGATACTTGTGCTGTGTTCTTGACAGACCCTTTGCAGAGTGGTCCGGTCTGCTGTAACATTTCTAATAACCATCACCTCTTTTGCTGTCCACATCAACAGCAAAATCACGTCTTCGTGTTGATCTCCACCATCTACGTCCTTCCCCACCCCCCAGGTCCAATTCCATTTCTGCCATTTACAAGATGCTTTAAAGGTTCTGATTTTCAACATATCAAACTAATGCAAAAAATTATTGTATGGTCTTCACTACTGAGTCTTTTCTTTGGAAACCATCACTTTTGAGAGATGGGAAAAAACCTGAATGTATAAAGCATTTATTTGTTAATAAACTGCCTTTTATAAGGAGTTTTTACCTAATATAGAGGAGCTTGCCTTGTTTAAGTTTTATAACCTTTCATTTTTCCATATTCTTCATCTGTGTCATCCCAGGGGCGCCATGGCACTATAAAAATCTAAAATATTAGAAAGCAACAACTTCAGAGAAAGTGCACAAGAGATAAAATTGCACAAGACGGTGCCATACTGAAATAATCTAATGAGGTCCTCAGGTATTTATATCTGCATTACTTTGGGGCATGCTGAATAAGAGGGCCACCTCCCTGAAATATATTAATAAACTTCAGCTAAATCACAGACATCCTGTACCTCTTCCAAAGTGGAATAGATGTCTTTCCCTGTTTGAGTGATTATACTGTGGGTCATAACCGCTGTGGGACCACTTCCTTTTGCGATGGAAACATTAAGTCTTTAATGCACTGTTAAGTGCCGATGCTACTGTGGCAGTATTTTTGCAAAGTTCCTAGTAATTTCCTCCAGTCAAATGAGGGTTCATATTTAATTTGTAGATTCTCAGTCCACATTGCTCCATCCAGTCAGGTGAAAGTAATGTATAGTTTTGCCTTTTTTGTAAAATTGCAGTTGGTTGTTCAGAAACTGTGTTATTACTTTGAATAAATTTACAAATATTTATTGAGCATCTACAGTGTACTTGGCACTGTTAGGCACTCTGTTTTTTAAGCACAGACTCTTCATGAACTGATTCTAGCATAATGTTTTATTTTTTACGATAGCAAAAGTCTCTGGTGGACAAACTCTGGGAGGTTGGCACTGGAGCTTCAGAATTTTCTAACAGTTTATCTTTCTTTTCCATTCCTAATGAGAAAGTAGAGGAGAAATGAGACAAAACGCTGTAAAATGCTTGAACCCACTGGCAGTTTTCTAAATATGGATTATTTGTGGGTTGTGCATGTTCTAACCACTCCTTTCTTCACACCCAGTGTGATGTTTAAAAAAAAAAAAACACATTAGTTTCAGGTCAGGACTCAAGGGGACAGGACATAACATCTGATAGGTCTGGTGAACTAATATGCAAGGCTTGCGTTGATGCAGGGAGGGGAACGAAAGCATTTCTTTGCAAAGTAACGTGTGCCCGTTCTTACAGTCTTGCTCTCATGGGGTGAGAGGATCCTTGAGGATGTGTGCAAGCCTTGGATAGTTTTTGTGCTTAAATGAATTTCTTGTGATTCTGAGCTGGTTATGTCCCTAGAGGGGAATTTTTAATTTTCCTTATACTTCCTGTGAGTAGGTATGAGTATAGTTTTTTATACTTTGAAAATTGCATTGGCTAATTTTATATTGCTTTCTGAACTCTTAAGTTATGTCATCATGATTTTTCATGTGTTGTATTAGTTTTTGATGTCACATTGGCTTTATTATGACTGGATGATGATAGGAACAGTCTAAAAGCCAAAAGTTGCCACTTTGTTGTGATAACATTGCCATAACATTCTTGATAGATTAGGGGATGATATAAAATAAGAATGTTCGGAAACACAGTACATTCTCATTCAGTTTTCAAATAACAAGTTAAAATTTTCAGTGAGAATTAAAAAAGAAAAGACTTGACAATGTTGTAAATTTGTACCGGAAGTTCAGGGTAGGAGGAATTTTGCAAATAGTTTTCTAGCCCCTACCATAAACTCTCTATATCTTGTACTCAATAGCACTCATTACTTTTGTCCTCAACAATAGCGAATCACAAAATCATGCAGCATAGAATGGAAAGAGGGAAATTTTCTCTCAAACATTGCCATGAAAACTCATAGCTATTGCCTATGACATAACTCAAAGAATATTTTTAAACAGATATTTAAACAAAAATATTTTTTCATTATAAAAGTAACTACCTATTAGTGCTTAGAGATGATCCAGATTTGGTTTCACTCTGATTCAGAAAGTTAGACATTCCTCCCATTTCTCAAAATTTGCTAATTTAACACATTTTTAAGCCAGTATTTAATAACTATAAGATTAAAAACAAATTGTGGCCAATATTAACTCTCATCCCCAAATATAGGGGTAAAAAGGATTTATATTCATCATTATTTCAGTAAATTTATCTCCAGTCTCTTTTCTTTTTCCTTTGATACCTGACATACCACAGCCAAATTTTCTAGAATAGAATCAAAGCATTTTATGCTGGACTTGAAGTTCCACAAATCTGACCGTTAGCTCTTACCTATGCATTTCCCCTTGCCCTCACCGCAAACAAACTCGGTAACAGAACCCTAATTGCAACCTTAAAGGGCTCACGGCTAACTCAGTATTTCACACACCAAGAACACTTCCCAAAAGTTTCTTTATAATGTGAATTTTCTTAATTTTTCAGTTCCAGAAGCATTTCTTCTACATTACTTTTTTTCTCAGATTTTCAGCTTGAAGCTTTAATTTGCACTGAATTATCTAACCTGGTTTACAAATGCCTCTCTTAAAATGATGGATTTGGAAGCAAATTAACAGTATATTTTAAATAATACAGGTACTGCCTGTTAACCTGGAATTTTAGTGCTTCTAGGAAGAGTTTCCAGAAAAAGACAGCAAAAGAGTGAAAGGTTTCCTTTCTAGTTACTATTATATTGTTTTTAATGCCTTTAAAAAATGTCTGAGGTAGAGCCAGGGATTTAGCTCAGTGGTTCTGGTGCCTGCCTCCCAAGCGCAAGATCCTGAGTTTGATGCCCAATACAAAAAAAAAAAAGTGTCTAAGGTGGCAAAATAGTTATGTGTTCAATTAATTTATATTTTATTCATTCTGTTTCATTTCTGGTTATTATGTAACCTCAAGTATCTTTCTGTTCTTTTAAGGTATTTTATAAAATGAATGTTAACAAAATGCAGAGTTGGTACTTTATTTTTCAAATGAACAAAAATATCAGAGCACTTCTATGTTGTAATTTTTCTTGATCTTCAGAACTGATTTGACAAATGGTAAAAACGTACCCATCATACATAATTTATTAAAACCAAAACCATGTACCTAGGATAGTCTCACATTCTACTCTGATGTCAGAACTGAAAGTCAAAGTCATATTAAAGGTGAGAGAAATACTACCATTCCCAGAAAAGGCTAAAGATCATCCAATGATATACTAGATAACTGAGAATTCTCAATCAACTGTAATATCTGTTCTTAAAACTCTTGGTTTTTCTAATCATTGGTTACTAGCCAGTTTTTCTAGAGACAAAACAGATTTCTGAAATATTAATCTTTTATATCAGAAACAAAGTGGAATTAATTGGGACATGCAAAGACCTATGCCTAGTAATAGTAATTATTACCTTGAAGCACACACAATGAAAAGGGAAAGATTCATAAGCAAGTAACTCCAATACAGTAAATGTTGTAGGTAGGTCCCCATATTATATTACTATTCCATGTTATGGTAAATGCTTAAGAACTCATTGACCCCTTACTATGTGTAAGAAACTTAGTATTGAAGCATTTAATCTTTTTAACAATCCTGTCTCCTAGAACTGTGGTGGAAAAGGTAGGAGTGACAAATTCCTTGTAGAAAGCTTTAAGAAGTCAGGCTGAATAGGATTTGTCAGCCTTAAAAGAGGAACAAGTTTTATTGTTAAGAAATTCAGAGATTAAGCTTTCCACCTAGGAACCACACACATGATCAAATATTGCTATTTAGGCAGAGGCAAGTGGTAGTGGGGCCTAAAGGAGCCCAAGTGGACCAGGCCAGCCACTCTGGTCCTGGGAGCTGTGGGAGGAGGAGTTCCTTTCTGGAGGTCAGAGGTGACAGTAACCATGAAAATGAGATCTTTGGACACAGAGGAATTAGGGTGTTCCTAACAGGTCATATCAAATGATAATCAGGCAGCAGGCTGAAAGGAAATTTAACTGTCATGCTTTTTCTTTATGTCCCTTTGAATTTTAAAGAGAAACTGAGAAATTACTCATAATTAGCTATTTTTGCTGAGTTTTCATCCCTACCACCATACCTTTTTGGGCTCAGAATTATGGGTCCCCTGAAATTTTAAATTGCCTGTAATTGGCCTCCAGAGCAGTAGAGGAAAGGGGAATGGAGTTTCTGAAATTTAAGTGTAACATTACTCCTTTCTGTATGCCTCCTTATGGCTCTGAACCATAGGGCCTCCATGTCTGCAGACTTTATTACACTTCTCCCCTGCTCCAGCCCCTTTGTTTCTGCTCACCTTTCAGTTATCCAGATTTCCCTGTCTCTGTTCGTGCCAGCCCTGCTACATACGTCTCCCCTTGTCCTTTTCCAGCCTAACAAATCTTTTTTTCTTCAAAATTAGTCTGCAGTACCACCTCTGTTAAACATTTCCTGTCTTATCCTACATGCAGAGTGGAGGATGGCATCTTTAAGTCTCACCTGGCACCAGTATAACACTTGCCTCCTGTATTTGCAGAGGAGGCCTATCTACTTTGGTTTGTTTGTATTTATTATCAGTACATGTTTGCAGTACATACTCTTTATATTCCTTCTGTGGAGTTAGTACATGTACAAAACATCTTAATTACTTTTTTAAAAATACCGTTTTCCTCCTATATCTTAACTTCCTCTACTGTAGATCCCAGAACTGGTACACAATAAAAAGTTTCCAATAAGTGAACTGAAGCTTTGAGCAGCCAGTGGTAGAAGCGGCCCTGAGTTCTGGTCCCTGCTCAGCCACAGGCTACCCAAATGGAAAGAGCACTCTTTGGTTTGATTTTGCTTCCTTCATTCCTGGACTGGAAGATGTGTAAAATTATCTATTCATCTGATTACACTAAAACAGTGATGGAAAACCTTTTAGAGCTTTTAATGATAACAGCCTGCTGTGGCATACGTGCCATAGGTTTGCCATCACTGCATATACCCTACCCAGAAAACTTAAGACACTCTTTCATCTCCCAGAATTGACATTAAGGAGAAACATGTCTGATTTGTACTATTCACACAGCAAGGAGTTGTCCCAGTAGTCTTAAGATAACAGTGAACAAAAATATTCTGGTTGAACTGAGGACAATAGAAACCTCCAAAGGCAAAAAGCTACACATCCTCCCAGCCAAGTCCAGAGTCTTCTTGACCTGGTGCCCCATATGCCCTCTGCACCCTCATTCGTGCTGTGTTTGCTATTCAGAGCCCAGTACAGTAAGTGCAGATTAGAAAGAAGTGAACCTGAGCCGGTGGAACTGCCAAGGGGAGTCTGGGTTCTTTAAGAGCTGCTCTCAAGTTTAGAAGCTAGTTCAGGTACAAACAATAACTTGTCCTTCAGTTATAGAAAAGAATGGCATAACTAGTGGCTCCCTTTAGGTCTCTCATACAAAATGTGGCAAGATATTGAAGAGCACTTTTCCTTTATAAGGCTAAAATCCCAATGCTGAAAAGAACAGTTGATAAGTAAGTGCTTCTACATTCTGAAAAGGCCCTCTAGTAAATGTCTGTAGGGCTCACACAAGGCTAAGGGCAGAACCCATTAAACAGAAATGATGGCTCAAAGGTGGACCTGGGAGGCATGAATGAGAAATTTATGGATTGAGTCCATCTCCTCAAACCAAGTAATGATAACTCCAAAAGAAAGCTAACTATAGCACCAGGGAACTGGCGTCTTGCTCCATTATATATACACACAGTGGACTTCCTCGTCTTTTATCTGTATTTGAGCAGAATAAAAAACTGTAGAGCAAGAGGCAGCAGTGATTCATCTGACAGATTGCCATCACTGGGAAGACAAATACATCATATTCCCCAGAACAAAAAGACCCTGTCAGTGCAGCTGAGTCTTAAACCATCTTGACAAGACCCAAGGGGGCTACTTTCCAGGCACAGTAACTCAAGCAGCTCTGAGGTTTATGTATCTGAACCATTCACAAGGGAGTCGAGGTAGAGAAGGACATGCATTTGACATCAGTGACAAAGTCTCCATTTGGAAACTCACATCACAAATGAAAGAGAAAATTGAGGACACACTGCAGTAGCACCTACAAAGTTAAGCTATTCCTAAACTCTTTTTGCCTTGTCCCAAACCGGAGGATGCAGAAGCCTAAGAATAAAGAGGAGTGGTAGAAAAGAGCAGATATTTCACATTCTTTCCTCTTAATTCCTGAGATGAAGGCTTGTCAAGCCCATGAGACAGTGTACAGGATAGAAGGAATTAAAATGCGAATGACAAATAAGGAATAAGAGAAAAAGCAATAATTCAAGAACATCAGTTTACCATGTTAGCAGCTATCAAGTCCAAAGTGTTTGGTAAATTGGCTATTAAAACAACATTCCATTTCAATGGATTTTTCTGGTTTTCTTAGCTTATGAAAAATTATTTAGTCAGAGAACCATGAGGAGAAGTTCTCTGGGAAGATGCTTTGGATTGCCCAGATCCATCGTACTTCTCCAAAAATACTTCTTTCCTGAAAAACTCAGTTCTGTCCAAGCCTCAAGCTACAAATACATGTCCTTTGTAGCAGAGACCCTCTCCTCTGGGGTCCAACATCACTAAAACTCTCTTTTCCCTATGGGGAATTCTGTCTTGGTAAACCATTCATACCTTGTTAATTGGTTTGTTTTATGAAGAAAATATGACAGGCATAAAATAAAACAGCTGGCAGCAACTTACCTAAAACATCAATGACTGTCCTGAAATTACTCTGAAAAGGAACCAGTGTCCCTAAAGAACCACTCTAATGTAAAATGAAAAGTATTTTGCAGAGAATTAAACTTAACCACAAGTGCCTAGGCCCTAGGCTATTCATACATGAATCAAAAATTGCAGTGCCAAGGCATTTATTTATATAATATTTAATCAAGAGCAATGTGCAATGTCTGTTTATCTGGAATTTCTTGCAAAATAAGGGAGAATAAAATGTCTAGAGCAAGACTAATGTATCTCTACTAAACTATCTCTACTTAATCAGCACTAACATAATTAAACATTTATACAGCACATTGAGATTGGGAAAGTATATTTTGTTTTAAATCTTGTATATCTCAAAACTCAAGTAAATTTGTTACACTTGATATCTTCTCTTTACACACAGAAAATTTAGATGCCAGAGAGCATAAATAAGTTTCCCTGGATTGCTCAATAATTGACAAGAGCTAGATTTGTAGTTTATCAATTAGTCCCATCTTACACATTAGATATGAAAATTAGTCCTAACAACAAGCGAGACTTAAGCAATTCTTTCATTGGCAAGAAAAATTAATATAAGTGACTTTCACCTTAGTACAATTGCAATATAGCAATATATTATCAGTGTTTTTTTCAAGAATGCTTTGGTAATTGGTCAGCACCATTGTGTAAAGAAAACAGAATCACATAATTGAAGCTGAATGCCACACTACAAATTCTGATCAGCAACTTGAAAAATATAGATGAGTTAAGCAGTCTGCATTCCAAAGTGGCTTATTATTATGGGTCTTTTAGCCAGACATTTCCAATGTGTATGAATATCTATTTTTTAATTAATTTACTCTTTATTAGAAAGGAGAAAAGAAAAAAGTTACATTACAGCCTACCCTTTCACAGCAAGGTGATTTAATTGCTTGATTCTGTGAAAAGCTAATAAATAGAGATAGGGAAAAATACAGCTTAAATTAAAAAAAAAAAATCTGTTTCACTCATGAGGCATCACAGTGTGGGCATGGAGGCCCTTTTGGCAGCTGTGCTATTAATCTTTAAGAGGCTATAAACTTGTCATGGTAAGGACCCTGCAAATTCAGCTTGAATACACTTTGCTTTTCACATTAGTGACATGTGAGGACACTTACTCCTCTCCTCATCACTTCAGCACTGTGAGAAGGCCAGGGTTCTTGTTCTCATCTGAAAGGACCACCACCACTTCAGCTCATGACTTGTCAATCCTTTGTAATATTAACC